ACTCTGGAATTTATTGTCCCAGACCACTGATCAACCCTCCACCATGGAATCTTTCTGCTCCCAGGGACACAGATATCAGTAAGCCTGAGGAATATGAGTGTCATTTCTCTTGCAATGCCTTTTATATGAAACCCTTAATCCTTCAGGTTTTTCCAATGACTCTACTACAAGTTGAGGCAAAGAGAAGGGGCAACAGCTATCTGAGTACAACAGCAAGAGAGGGCACAATATTATGAGCACTTTACCAACCATATAGATTAGATAGAATATAGATTCAAGCAAGCAGAAAGGAAACTATGATGTTTCCAACTAGTTAATCCTTGATATCATGGTGACCCTGGAGGAATGGCAGCATTGGCTGTAGGAGGCTCAACAACCATTCTCTGTGCCCATTGACCACATCAACAGGGCACTAGGAATAACTGACTATGCCATATGGCTTGATCAATGCCCTACTGATATTGCAGTGCTTTGTCAATGAGAGATATGCTCAATATGTTAGTTTATATAGATAACATGTTTGTGCTTTCTAGCCTGTAGGAGTATGTCAGTCATGTAAGTACTACATTGGTGAAGATACTGAAACACAGGTTCTGTGTGAAGGCAAGGATCACAATCATACAAACGAAAAACAACAACCTCACCAAGCCACATGGGCCAGGTTTATTTTTACCCTATTACATATTGCCTTGGTTTAAATAACACCAAAGCAGATGCTCAGACATATTAATCCTGAATCTAAAATCCTAAGAATATTCTGCCAACTACCTGCTTGGCCACCCTCATCTTCAGGGAAAATGAGCAGGAGGCCATGACAGGTGCACCTGGTAATCCTAGACAAGCCACAGTAAAGGTTTTATGATCCAGACACAATACTATTTTGTTTAGTCAGTTGTGGACACAGTTTCACATGGTGTTTTACTGTCCCAACTATTTATATTAGTGTTTAACCACACAGACACATAGCATCAATTCTGTGGACATGCAATAGCAATGCTCCAAAGAAAACACAGAATACAAGCAGCAGGCGTCTTGTGTATGCATATGCATTGTTAAAACCAAATATAATCCAGATTTTACAGGCACTAAATAACTCCATTCAACACAATATTGATTACACATTGCTCATGCTACAGTTCAGAAATACTTTCAGTTGTGACTCTACAAACCCTGCCCATACCCTAAGGTCCATGATTGTACCTCTTTGTGGACTTTTCTGCAGTATCAGA